CGGGGGCGGCGCCGCCCGGGCCGGAGCCGGTCCCGCTCCCCTTCCGCCGGCCCGGCCCTGCGCTCTGGGCCGGGAGTTTCGGCCAGTTGCAGCAGTAGTTCCACGTCTGGGTGGATGGGTTTAGTGTCCCTCTCGATCTTGCCTCGGTTTGATGGAATGGCCGGACTAGTTGCCTTGGGGGGTTTTTGGTATGTTTTTTTCTTTTTTTTTGGTTGGGGGTTTCTTTTTGTGATTTTTCATCGGAGGATACATGCCATTAGGGAAGGGTTAAAAGGCACGTCTTTATGCAACATCTGTATCTGAAACTTTAAAGTGAAGTTACCTTTAAGACGTTACTCTCGGAAACGCGAAAACCCGTGAGTGAGAGGGAGAGTGCGTGGTGTTTTGTCAGGGTGTGTCACAGGCAGTGGGAGAACCTGAAGTGTAAAACTTTGTGGAGTTTTCTGGTGCCTTAAATTCAGTGCAGGGCAACATGTCTCAGGACAAGACGACAGTCATAATTTGTGCCAGGGCAGGTTTAGGTTGGACATCAAGAATTGCTTCACAGAAGGGGTGATTAGAAGTTGGAATGGGCTGCTCAGGGAGGTGGTGGAGTCACTGTCCCTGGAGGTGTTTAAGGAAAGACTGGACGTGGCAGTTATTGCCATGGTCTACTTGAAAGGGTGGTGTTCAGTCACAGATTGGACTCGATGATCTCAGAGGTCTTTCCCAACCTAATTGATTCTGTGATATGAGATGGCAATCTGATCATTGTTTAATAGTGTAACTATAAATACATACTGGCAGGTTTTTATCAATGAGGATAAAATGTGTATCGTAGGGTAAGTTCTCATGGAGCCATGCCTTGTTTCCATAATCTGACCACAATAACTATGGATGCAGCTACTTCAATTTTCACCAATACTGAACTTTTCAATTCTTTGCTTTTTTCCTTGCGAGCTAAAATGTGGGAGGAAATCAAGGCTTACTTGGTTGAAAAGTTGGGTGTTATTGTTTCTTTATCAGGCTTCTTTTCTTATTAGGGCCATATAGACACATGCATCTCTGCTCTATACCCACTGGAACTCACAAAGTGGAAATTCAGACTAATGTAAAGCAGTTGCTTAATGTATTGCATATAAAGTTAAGGAGTCGGATGATGTATCCTTGTATACTCAGTAACGGGACTGATTTGGGCTACTGAACGCTTTTCTTGCTCGGTTAGCACTGTCCTATTCTAGGACTACATTTCCCAGTGTGCTCTTCACTGCAAACAGCACATGCTTTAAGGCAACAGACAGTTGCCCAAGTCAGCATGGTAAGTGTAAGGTGTGATATTCCTGTGCCAAACCTGTGCTGTGGTTTGAAGATGCAAAGAAGTCCCAGCTTAAGTACTCCTGACCATTTCCCTGACCGAGTGTGTTCTCCCTGCCCCATAACATCCACTCATGGTTCAAGCCAGCCAGGTTCAGATTTGTCTGGTAACTCTCCTGATTCGGTGACCAAATCATTCAGGTCACTTGGCTCTGCATTTGTTTTGCTGGCGCAGGGGGAGGATGGTGTGGAAGTGGGCACAAGCAGATGGGGAGGCAGCAGCACTATTGGAATTACACTGGTTTGGGGTCTTCATTGAACTGTTTGATCCAGCTATGATGGGGCTGCCCTGAAGTGAACCTGAATCTGTGTAAGTCACATAAGTGCACACACAGAGTTAATTTGGGTTATGGAGAGGTCCACGGAGCGCTGGAATCGGTGGAAATGTTTGTGTGAATTGGCAAGTGGGAGGAAGGAGGTTCTCCCTCTCCTGGAAGCAGCAAGCTTTTATATTGTCTCTGACTGCTGAATGCTGGAGTTGTTGCAGTGACTTGGGGTAGTCACACAGGCTTTGGGGTGCTATGCTCAGCCTCACCCTGAGAGAGCACCCAGTGGAGAACATAGCAGGGCAGGGGAGAAGGGGCAGGAACTGCTGAAGTGTAATTTGCTCTCTGACACTCACTTTGTGCTGGTACTGGATTGCTTCTGTGTCTGTACTGTGCTTGGATTACTATCCAAATTGACACACAAAAATCACATGACGGCACAAGAGAAAAGGGGAATGTACAGGCTGAGCTGTTGGTGAGAGATTGGAGCCTGGGTTTGGGTCAGTTTTGGATCCAGGTGTGCTCTCTCAAACCTACATCCTGGGCCTGCAGTTCTGCAACAGTCTGGACTGACCCGAGTCAGTTTTGACACAGTCTTAGAGCCTCCCCATGCCACTGTTAATCTGTGTCCAGTTCTGCACTGAGCTTACTCTCAGCACTAAGTAGCTGAAAAGAAACATTCAAAAACATTTTCAGGGGGGTCCCATTTATTGAACCAGTTTATCCTAAATGTGGTAACCAAAATAAGACTTGAGACGTTTTAAATAGCTTCTTAAAGCTGTGCAAGTTTTCCTTCAGCTTTGATTTTGATCAGTCATTTTTATTCTGGTGATCCCATAGAGAAACTAGTTGCACAGTTTTGCTCTGCTTTCCAAATTCTAAGTTCTATTACTTTTTGTAGGGCTATCTATAATGAAACCTATGTCTTTTCTCATGATACCTCTGATTTGTGCAGAAGACCTGAGGCTGGGTTTATTGTTTTGGGGGTTTTTTGTGTCTTATATTTGCTTTAAGTTGCTGTCTTGTTGAAGATAAACCTTCTTGCAGCTATTGTTAATTTAAAGAAAAAAAAAAACCCAAAAAACCCAGAAAGGCAAGCCAAAATGTTTTTGAGTTCTTTAAAATAATAATAATAATAAAAAAATCCATAAACTGTATTTTAAAGGAGGTCCATTGCCTGTCTGTGCTAATTGTGTTTGTGCTTCAGTTGTTGAATGGTGCTTCTGAATGTGACTGACATGCAAATAATGCTCAGAAAGTGTTAATAGGTTTAATAAATTTAGAATCAAGCAAATGAAACTTGAGTTTTCATTTTTGAGAGTACTGTTGCAATGAAATGCCAGATACCTCAGTGAGAGGTAGCAGATGCAACTGAGCTATGTTTTAGCATTTGAGGAAATGTGCCTGTCAAACTAGTGTAATAGAATTGCTAAAAGCAGTGTCATTTAAAGAGTAGTGCTGTTATCAATAAAGGGTTAAAACAGCAGTGTGATCATTTATATTGAAATATAAAAGGTCACTTGGAAGCTCTAATTGTGCTGGTAAAATTACTTCACAGTTACAGGTTTTTCTGTTGGCATTAGTAGCTGTGATATTCATGGAGAAAGGAATCCTGGCTGTTGTTTCTGGCTTTTTATGTCATGTCTGGAAAGCAGTTTTTTGGTACTGGGAGAAGGACTCACAGAATCCCAGAATGGGTCAGGTTGGAAGGGACCTCAGTGGGTCCTCTGGCCCAACCTCCCTGCTCAAGCAGGGCCATCCCAGAGCACACAGCGTAGGAATGTGTCCAGATAGATCCTGAATATCTCCAGTGAGGGAGACTCCTCACCCTCTCTGGGCAGTCTGTTCCACTGCTCATTCACCCACACAGTAAAGTGATGCTTCCTCGTATTCAGGTGGAACTTCTGTGCATCTGTTTCTGCCCATTGCCTCTTGTCCTACTGAATAGAGGCTAAAGAAGCGCACTTGCTGCCTTCAAGTTTGTAGTTTGGCTGATACTAGAAAATAGAGGCAGCAGTAGCTGGAGGCAAAGGTTTTCTTGCTCATTAGGCTGATGGGCCCCAAACAAATAATGGTTTTTCACCAGAATTCTGCTGTACATCACTAAATGACCTGATTTTACTTGAGGAGGACTTATGTTGCTGTCTATAGGAGGCTTGTAGGAGACTTAAATTGCTGTTTTGGAGCAGAACAAAGTATTTTTCCTAACGTTTAGTATAGTTTGAGTATCATTCTGTGCCACGTTGCTTCTTACCTTTGCAGTGGTACTTTCCTTGTCATTGCTGTTACTGATGAAACAGAAGTGTGTTAGCACAGACAGTACTCGACCTGCCCAAACAGCCCTTGCGAAAGATGGGTTCTTCCTGTGACTACTGTACCTGGTGATTGTCAGAAAGTACCACAGTAAGCATTTCCCCCGGACTGCTGGATACAATACAGGATTCATCTACAGTCAGACTTCATGGTAATTTCATTCACCTGTTCTGCTCCTGAGCTGTAGCACAGCACAGCGTGGAGTTCAGTCCTGGTGTACAAAGACACCAAGACTGAATTTCATGCAAGTCTTTAATGTAGTTTCTGTTCTAATGCTGTTCATTACCAAAGTTACAAAAACATGGCAGAATGGGGGTTAATTAGAGTATATAGACCTGTAAGATTAATAGACTGAGAAATAAGAAAAGCTAAGTTTGAGAGTGGGTTTGTCATTAAGTGTTTATGTCAATCAGTCAGTGGCAGACCTTCACAGAGTTGGTCTTCTGACAGAAGCTCAGGTGGGATGCTTAACAAGGAAGTTTAAGGGGATTGGTTGTTTTTGAAGTTTTGTTGGGGTTTTGGGTTTTTTTAGATGATTGTTATCATAAACTTACATGTATATGTTATCAAGCAAGTTCTGTGAATTAAAAAAAGCCTCTCCAAGAGTGTTTTGGAGGTATTTTGTAAAAAGGGCTGGGTCTACTTGTAGTTGAATAAATAGAATTAATCTTGAGATTAAACAAAATCCCTTCTGTTTCTGGCAGCCAGAAAATTCTTTGTCCACTGATACAATCTCAGTTTTTCTTGATACTGATGCAGTAACTGAGCCAGCTTTTGCTCAGTGTGATTCTGTTACACTTTGTTGATAGTTTTTACTGCCCTCTGTAACAATTTGTAAAATGTTCTAAAATCCGTCAGTTCTGGGTGATACGTTCTAGAAAGATGTTTGAGCCAGTGCATCTGTTAATATACAATACACTTGTCTGTACTGTGTTTCCCTAATTGCCTCAATCTTCTGCATCTTTGTAAATAATTTAATTACAAATTATCTGGCTATAAACATTTCTTTAAGGTAGCTGGATCACATAGGTGTCTAAGAGAAGTCCAGTCATTTACTACTCTTACCTGACAAAAAACAGAATTTCTACAATAGACAGTATTTCTAACATCTGTTAGTTTGTTGTGACTTTCACCAGATTGAAGTGTGTGTTACAATGGCCTGTTACCAGCTGTGAGCAGAGTGTTGATTTTTTTTTTATAATTACAGTAAAGTGAAAAGGCACAATTTATTTCTTTGTGAGGAAGCAGTAGGGAGGAGGGTGAATTAAAATCAAGAGAATGAATAACTAATGCATAAATGCAATTGTAAAATAGTTGTGTAAATCAGATCTTTTCCTGCAAGTTCTACAGAGTGAGACACAACTGTGTACAAAAACATTATTAGCTTTCTTATAATTATTTATGCAAAAGACATTAACACTACAGACAAAAACTATAATGTGCTTTTCTAGACATTTATATACTGTAAAATTTCAACTCTACTTGTGACCCCACTTAGTATTGGTATGTTGAACCACATGTGCTGTGACTGGTTCGTTTTTTAATATGAAACCATAAGAATAGTAGCCTGAGTCCTCTAGGTCATCACTGAGAGTTTCTTGAACTCTGATTCTTGAATAAAGATTTAACATCTTTCCCCTAGCCCCATTTCAAAAATGGCCATTTTCTGGTTGGGTTTTTTCCTTTCTTTTTCTAAACTCTGCTTATCTTTAGTTCTTGGAGGATGCTTGTAAAATGGTCTTTGCTGTAGAGTTCCCAATAGGTTATGGATTTTATGTATTAGGAGATGGAATCTTAATTGGATATGTATTTGAAAATACTGTGGGTCTGGAGTCACATAGCTCTGGGCATGTTTATCCGTGTGTCCGTATGCTTGTACAGCTATGTCCATGGGTATAGTCCAGCTCTTAAAAATGTGCTGTCATTAGCAATTTACCAGCTTTAGAATTCCATCCTTGCTGCCAGATGCCATTGTAAGTTGTAGGACAATACTTCACCTGTTCACAGTTCCATGTACCAGTGCTAATGAACAGCTTTTCTTTCTTCCCAATGCAGATGCAGATTGCCATTTCTCCCACTTTTCCTTTGGGGGTGGGGGTGTTTCGGTTTTCTTTTACTACTATTATTATTATTGTTGTTGTTGTTGTTGGGCTAGTATTATTATTATTTTTTGTTAAACTCCGTGTCTTGAAAATACTTTCCCAGTAAATTCTAATCATGTATATGTTTTACTTCCAGTAGGAATTGGAACTGAATTTATTCATCCACTTCTCCAAGCCTTTTGAAAAGTGACTAAATGCAACTGAGTCAGATTGTCTGTGGGTATGAAGTGGCTGGGAGAATCCAAGAACATGGTAGTGAATGGCCGGAGAAGTGGAAGCAAGTCATCTAATGATCACGCGCAGACCAAATTGCAGCATGCAGGAAAGGAGAATCCAAAGACGGGCAAAAATGGAGTTGAGAGAAGATCAAGCAGATGTATGTACATGTTTGTGCTGCTTAGTGCTATGATTCACTTCCTAGTTTTCAAGCCAGGCTTCTGTCTTACCTCAAATCGTGAGGAAGGTCTGCAGTCAGCGTGGAGCTAACATCAGAAATACAGGTTGCATATGTATTTTCTGGATGTGTTAACTCCCTTCAGGAATATAGATCTCCTCAGATCAGTTTAAAAGTCAAGTAAGAATAACTGGATGTAAATGCATTTTGAACTGTTGTAATTATAAAATGCATGTTTGGCACTAAGTGAAGTCTAGTAAGATTTGAAGTGAATAACTTAATTTGAAGTACTTGCTCAACTTTCAGTAAATGCACTTGTAGAAGTAAATCCCATTTTTTAAACAAGTCAGTTACATCAATAGCCATTCTGCAGTGGTTTTAAGAAATACAGAGTCTTATTTTTGCTATTGGTCTGGGATGAAGAATTAAAGGCAAATTAAAGTCCTTTATTCAGATGTCCTTTAAAGTCTTTTATTCTGCCTCTCCAGGTATTTCATCATCTTCCTCAATTGTTCTGTATTTTTTGCCACCAGCTTGTGTGTCTATCTGTCCTCAAATGTAGCTGGGCTCTGTAATGTCCCTTAAGTGATACCTAATTTGTGCTCTCTTATTTGCAGGTAGCGGTGCTTCAGGATTTGAGGGTCAAAGTCGTTATGTGCCTTCCTCTGGAATGTCTGCCAAGGAACTCTGTGAAAATGATGACCTAGCAACTAGTTTGGTTCTTGATCCCTATTTAGGTTTTCAGACACACAAAATGAATACTAGGTAACTTGTCTTTATTTTTCTAGAAAAGAATTCATCTTCTTAGTTGATGTAAATCAGCAAAACCATGGTTTTTTTGCATGTTTTAAGAAAGTGAAAGAATGCAAATGTGTGAGTAGCTTCTGCCTTTAGAACAGCGTTGCATGTGAGTCTGGAACGCATTACTACAAATGCAGCCTCTCACAGTGCTCCATCATAGGTCTTTCCATTAGTCTCATGTATTTGTGCTGTAGAACAGGTTGGTAATAGGCACCATTATCTAGCTTATACAGTTAACTATTTGTAAATTTGAAACCAGTAGTCATTTGAAATCTTTCAAAGGCAGAAGCCAGATTTTGGTAACTTTTCTGTTTATTCCATCTGCCTGGATGTCTTTTCTTTCCTTCTTTACTCTTAAACATCAGAAGAAAGATGCAGCCTCTGAGCAGTTCAGTGTTGGTGGTACTTGATCTGAAGTTCTTGCAGACCCTTGCTGAAGGAATTGCTACTGAGACATGTCTGTATGGATAAGATAAATGAATGTGCAGCTGGAAACTTGCTTAACAGAGTTGCACCTACTTTTGCACTGTTACGCACGTGTCTGAATGCTTTGGTGAATTCTTTGTGGTCTCAGGGTTTAGCTGCTTGCGCTTCTCCCTCTTTTACAGATGTACCACTGATGATAACTGTGTTCAGTCAATCTCTCTTAAGCTGGTTTGTATACAAGATCTGTATTGATAGCTCAGTAGGGAAATTGTATATAAACTATATGTTTCTAAGGACAGGAATAGTGTGCTTACTACTGTGCAATAATAAGAGCTGGAGTTTCCAGGCAGCACATCTTGGGAAACAGATTCTCAGCCTTTCAAATTGTTGCTGTGATTATTTTTAAAGGACAGTTCACCTGTGCAGTACAGTCACATACACACACTATCAGTTAAGCAAATTGTATGTATGCAGTGAACTTACTGATTCAGAAATGACTGCTGGATGAATTGGTGTTGTCACATAAATAGTTGCTGATATAGCCTGACATGACAGCATCAGCTGTACATGAAATTGCAGCAGTGTGATTGTAATAACTGTAAAGACTTACTCCAAGAGATTTTATGTTTTTTCTGGAGGGTGCAACGTCTACCTTTAAGGAGAATGTCGGAGTTTTTCCTCTTCCCTCCCTGCTATTGGTTACAGTAGCATATTGTCCCGGTAGATATTCTTACAGTTCAAATTGAAGTGTCTTTGTATTTTCATCAGTTAATCAAGGTAAGAATATATGCTGAAAGAAATTTTCTGGTTTGTTGCATGAATGATAGTTTACAGGTTATGTACAAGTTGTTAGTTCTTGTGCTTTTTGCTATGAAAGTGAATCCTGTTTAGTAGTTGGAGAAGCTACTTTCATAAATGTTGTTTTATATTGATAGGCTGTCAACTAAAATATTTATTTAATTACTGTTTTGAACCAAAAGGCTACACAAAGCCCATCACCATGTATTTCTTCCTTTCTCAGATTTGGAGAACAGTTACAGGCAGTCTTCAAGGACAGTAGTTAATAATCTTGGAGCACTATGGGAAATACTTAGGTGAGGCTTAAAACTCCTACCAGATGCACACTTCCTGCCTCTGTCATATTGTCCCATTGAGAAAGTTTCTGATTTTGTAATAATTAAAGTCCAGACATCAGCATAGTTCTTATCTTTTTGGTGCAGTGATGATGCCTGCTTGTTACTGTGGCTGTGATGCTCAGATTACCTTTTTCCATCTAGTAAACTGCAGTCTTTCTAAAGCTCCTGAGAGCTCTGGAGGTCAGTACTGTTGTTTTAATGGCTTTGAGGGAAGGTGTGGGGAAAGCAGGTGTGAAAAAACCATACTGCTTCCAAAATGCCAGGTGACAGTACCCAAATATTATGATGTAGTAGAAATGAAGATTTGCAGCTTATGTTTGGGCATCTTCTGCTTAAGTGCATGGAGTCATATTAGTTACATAGTTTGTGTATGGAGGTGTGCTTAAAATAAAACAGCCAGTTATGGTGGCAAGCAAAGATTTCTTGTTCCCTTGTTCTAATATGCTTGATGATGCCCTGTGAAAGTGTCTGTGCCACCATTCTGCTGTGCTGTGCTGGAAACATGTAAAAGGTTTGTATTTTTGCAGCCCATTGTAAGTTGATGATCACTTACTAGAGTTCTGCTTCCCCTTACCTCTGGAAGCCAGGTCTGTATTTTTGTATGCATGAGTGTCTTCCCTGTAAGTACTTTTTCTACTTAATTCTTCCTGTTGAAGAGTTTGTAAATTTGATTTATCCGGAGTATATTGATTAAAGAAAAAAAATCCTTATGGTAAAGTATCAAGATTGATATTGAAATGTCCTTGTTTCCCATCTTCTTTATATTGAGTTAATGATCTTATGGTAGGGTGGTGACAATAACATGACTGTTACTTTGCTTGCTGGGTTTTTGTGTTTTGATTTGGTGGTTTTTTCTGGGTGTATAAAAATAAAGTCCTGCAGTTTGTGAATGCCCACCATCTTGGTAATAGGGCTGTTGGCTCTGCAAACTGTCAACTCAGGAATGTCTGAAAGAGCTGAAGACTGTTTCTTAAAAGCTTACAACTGAATCCTCTAATGTGTTTGTCCAGTGTTCCTCTGAAATGTTTTGTTGTCACTGGGGATTTGAAGGACAGTATAACATGTAGCTCTGGAAATGTCCTCAGTGGCTTTACCCAAAAGTATTTTTTTTCATCCTCTTTGATTTCCAAGAGAAAACAGGATGTTTTCAGAGCTTCCAACCCTCTTTTACAGGCCCAGTTGTTGTTCTTTCATCAAATTTGTAGCTCTTATCTCAACAGAATAGCAGCTTAGCAGTTAATAAAAGAAACACCATGTATTAGAAAGCATGTTCTTCTCAAGTATCATTGTTCTAAGAGGTTTTCTTGCTTCTTGTACAAATCCTGTTAGATCAGCCTTCGTTGGTTTGTTAGACAGTTTGTCTACCAAAACAAAACTCATTTTGTGAGCTACACTTCTGGGTTGAAGGCTGACAAACACTAGAGATTAAAACTGACACTTGTAAAATGCTAAGTGAATTCTTGCCTGTCTTACCATCTCTTATTTTTGGGTGCATTTCCCTAGGCTGAGCACTGAATCTTGAAGTTACATGCCTTAGTGGCTAATCTGCTCTTTATACTATCTCACAAAGGTGTTACTGTTTAAACCTTGAGCCAGACTCCTGATCATATTGCTGCTGTTACCAGTCAGTGTTGTTTCCTGGTTTCCTAAAGCACCAGCATCATGTTGGGGAATACTGACAGCACTTCCAACGCGTCTTTAAATTTGCAAGTGGTTTAGGAAGTCAGCTATGTTGCAGTCTGCTGCTTTTAGTGAAGTTAAAAACAGGTGCGTGATGTGGGTGGTTTTGTCTGATTACGTGGGACTAACAGACCAAGCTTTAAGAATTTCCGTGTTTTCCATTGGAATCCATGAAGTGGGTGGGGATGATGTACAGAATCTGCTTGTCTGGACACTGCCTCAACAGCAGTCACTGACTTGGGTGACTGAACTTGACAGGGTGCATCACTCTTCATCCCTTAGTCACCACTAGGCAGTGGAGACAAAAAGCACAAAGCAGTTCTGTATCATTGCATTTATGAGCCTGTGCTGAATCTCCTCTGCTTTCTTTAGCTTATTTCAATATAATAATTAGAAGGTTCAGTATTCATCTTGAGTGAAGTCTGGAGGCTAAGGAAGTGACTTGGGTTCTGCTAAATAAGGTTATGTGGCCATACAGTTCAGCTTCAGTGTTGAGGTGCTATGGAGATACTGAATTAGAGGTACACAGCTCTTACGTAGTGATAATCTGGTTCAAAGTGAAGCTTTTGCATTCTTCAGACCTCAGTGTCTGTGTATTTTACAAAATGGTTTTGTTTGACTTTTGCATAAAATCTGATTTTTCCATTTTTTCTAGATGATTTTTACTTGTAGCTTAATTCAGTAAAGTCCTTTACCTTGCTTCTGATTGTTTTCCTTCACTGTGTATAAATCACACAGTGATTACATTGGAACCAACTGTTTCGCTGTTCTCAAATGTCTTGGATTAAAAAATAAAAAAACAACCAAAAAAACACCCTAAACAACCATGCCCTCCCCCTCAAGCCAACACCCACCACCTTACTTTTATAGTTTTCTTATTTGTACTCTTAGCTTCAACAAAAAGTGTTACATCTTCAAAACATGGAGTGACTTGCATCCAGTAGTCACATTAATTGCTAAATTAAATTTACCATGTGGAGTGTTGGAATAGGATTAGAGGACAGTTTTAGGTTGTTGATTTGGAGGGTTTCTTGTGTCCCCCATATTTATTTTTAAAAAGTACTTCTTTGCTAACCATATTAAGGAGAATGAAATTGTGTGTCTTAGAATTTTCTTTGTTTTGACCACACTGATGTGTATTTAGTATAAGAAATTTAAGTAATGTGAATTACTTTCTTCATTAAAAGTGCTGTTTTGAAATTTGGCCTTTAAAGAACATGAGTTTTCTTCTGTATGAAAACACTGGCAAGAAAGGCAGAACCAGTTGATCATAACTTGTATAACTAGCTTTGAGGAAAAAATACTCATACTACAGGATTGGGCAGGGAGGAAGCCAAAATGCATGTTAATTAAATTGTTTATGCTTATTTTAAATACATGATTTTCAACTCTTGTTCTGCTGTCTTGAATGCTTAACAGACTTGCAGTTGTAGCTTCTGTGCTCAATCTCTGGTACCAAGTGAACATAAACGTGGTGTTTTCCAGAACTGCTTAAACAGAAATACCATCCAGACAAGGTGCCTGTTGTTAAAAGGATAATGGGTTGATACGGTTTGATAAATTCACTCTTCTTGATGTTCCCTAGTCAGAAATTAAGAAATAAGGTTTGGAAGTCAAACCCTTTATCATGCACTGGTATGCTGTGTGGAGTTCCATACTGGATCTCTTGCAGGATCAATTTATCCTTTTTGTTCAAACTCACTGCTCTCAGTGACTGAGACTGAGCAAGGTACTGTGCTTCTGAACTTACCAGAAACTCTCCTTTAACTTCCTTTATAGGCAAGCATCTCACTGACCTTTGGCTTTATACCTTGGAGTTCCAAGAGTCTTTAAGTACTCCTGAGGTAAGAGAAACTTGAGAGAGAAAGAGCTTTGCTTCCCTGAGCCATTTTCCTATATCTTCCTTGTTGAGACCATATATGTTTGCCCTTAATTGGGATGAAATCATCTTCTATCTGATTCTGAAACTGCAGTAGCCACAGCTTTATCAGATCTTGTTGACTAGGAAAAAATAAGTATTTTCTAGGGAAGTGTGAAAAGCTTCTGTTCTGCAGGTTGTCAGGAAGAAGGGCTGATACTATTTCTTTAAAGACACTGTCATAGCTGAGGTGTTCATTCTTTGCTCATTTCCAACACCTGTCTTGCAGCAGACTTCATGTCCTATGAGACCTGACCTGTGAACGGCTCATAGGGTGGCTCAAGGAGTCTGTGCCTGTGACCAGATCCAAACATCAGTGTGTCTTGTTCAGTTTCCATGATGGAATTTAATAAAGATACTGTTCAGAGGAGGAAAGCAGAAGTCTGGATAAGCAGTTCTGATTTTAATTGCCTTTGTTCAGAGACTGGGTTGGCTGGTTTGTTTTGTTGGTTTCCTTGTGCTCTTTCTATCTCTCTTTGAACTAGTCTCTTGTTTTACTGATGCTTAAAAGTCAGTTTCTCTGGCTCATATGTATGCATTTAGCTATGGGGCCTTTTCAGGCTCTTTTCATGGTGGAGCTCAAAAACAGTTGTGGAGACACTTCCAGCAGATCTGTAGGTTTTTGGGTTTGCTTTTTTTTTTTATGTTGTGTAAATGTGGATGCCCTGTAACACCAAAATGGTAGTATGCAAGGTTGCTTCTCAAAATCAACTGGCTTTTAGGTTGCAAAAAACTAATGAATTAACTAATTAATTATACTCCTGGGAGAAGTGAATTATCTATCAGCAGACCCAAATTCTTAAGGAATACTTCCAGGCTTTCTTGGCTTCTTCAGTGTCTCAAATGAGAAGATACCTTTTAAAGTATATATGGAGACACACCTGTGAAAGACTAAATCTTTCATGAGGAGTCTGGACTGTAGTATTCTGAATTTGCTTACAAACTTTGTATGCTCTCAGTGCAATTTATATGTGCTGTTGAACTGTGAATAGGCCTCTAACTCAGGCTTAGGGTCGTTCTGATTCATAGTGTTGTTCTGATTCATCTGTTTGGGAACCCTTGGAAGTGAAATGTTAAACATGATGCTGGTTTCCAGCGTCTTTCCATGCACTTGTGGATGCTTCTTGCTTATTTGGATTCCTGTTTATCTTTTCTCATTATCTCTGTCCTGTCACTATGTAAGAACTAAATTTTGATAGGGGTGCTGCAGAGAGTCCTCAGTATTAATTTTTGAACCCCTGGGTGCAGAGAGTCATCTCTTTCAAAAACGCAGTTCCTGTTTGAAATGCCTGCCATGCCAGTCCAGCATTCATCTGACTGTGTAATGCCTTGGGGGTTTTACAATCTTTTCATCCCTTTCTTGTTTCCAGCCATCTTTTTGGCCTTTGCAGGGCTTGAGCATACACTAACTATTTTACGTCATTGGAGTGGTTTACAGAAGTTTCTGCTAATCACTTAGATGAATTCCACCAGCAATGTGGTGCTTGAGTCAAGAATCCATAGAGACACCTGCTGAATGTGATCCACAGAAATGTGCCAGCGACTTTCAAGGGCTAGGGCCAGATTCCAAGCTGCCTAAGGTCACTGTTCAGGTAGACATCAAGTCAACCTCTGAGAATAATGTGTATGAAAGTCCTAAAATATGAGGACTTGAGGGTGTAATTCAGTGCTTCCAACTACTAGAAAACAGGGTGTTGATTCTTTTTCTGTAGGTCTTGAGATCCACTGTTAAGCTTAGCATCTGCCCTCCTTTTTTTTCTGTACTTCTTTTCCACATTGATGGTTCAGTTGGGGTACTGCTTTCTTTAGATAGGCTAGACCAAGCTTCTTGGTGATAAACAAGTGTGATGATGTCTATCAGTACATACACTGCCTGTCTCAGGTGCTAATGCAATTTCAAATATGATGGCTTTTCCACCTGTCTTTGCTCCTGCGGGTCACTTGGCTTTTGTGTCACAAAAATTGTGTATTTCAACATGTAAAATACAGTGTAAGGGAGAGGGCCGTCACTCATGTAGCCCAGAAAGAACAGACATACTGAAGACCAATTTTATTTGTAAATCCTGTGGGTTTTTCCTGTGTGTAATGTTTGCAGATGGAGGTATAAGTGAGATACTGGTCTTTCATGATTGTGAAAATTGGTGAGCTCTCTACTTCTGGTGTAAGTGCAGTTGACTCTTTGCTGGGAAACTTGTTTCTGGTTGAAACTGAAAAGTGAGTGCAAGTCCTGTTCTGAAACTAGTCAGGTTCAGTTCTGGCTATATGATTTTAAATTCCCTTTGTGTATGAGGAAGCTCTTTGAGTTATGGCTATCAAACTTGGGCAAAGTCTTTCTGGTTTTGGGAGAACAGAGATATTCATATGTGTGACTGGCAAGTTAAGGAAGACTTTGGTGTGCTGCAGAACAAAAATAATGATTGTGTCATAAAGTTTTCTTGCATGATAAGGTCTCATCAGCTTGTTAGGTAGTTAGCTTTTTGTTTGGGATGATGATACAAGTATATTCTTTAATAAAGAACTTGACTTGAAACTTCATGGTGTGGTGTGTGCTACAGTTTTAAGCAGGCATCTGTTTCTTGGCTGACTCCAACTGTCTTGTTCAATTGTCATATGTCAGCAAGAAGAGAACTGAACCTGATGTTCGTTCAGAACTCCTTACTGTGCCCTCTCTTCTGAAAGCCCACAGGTTTATGCTGGTAAATTTTGCTGGATTCAAAAGATCTAAAAGGGTACTTAGTTATTATGTCACAAGAAGTTTTTCCGATGGAAATTTGAGAGATTTGTAAAAGCAGCATGGAACGCTGATAACCTGCTGAAAGTGATTCTGCTCTTAGGGGATCTGTCTTCATTGTATCAGGAGCATAAATACAGCATCTTCCTTCTAAGGAAGGAAATTGAATCCTCATCGTTGTTACTTATTTCTGATTAGATTCTTAGTATTTTGCAAAGTGAAACAAAATCAGGAGGTAACACTTCTTTGTTTCCTTTATACAAAGTTGCATGGAAGAAGTAAATATTATGTGGTCGTTTAAAAGAAGTTACTTGCAACAGACAAGATTCTAAGGTGACAATAACCCAGTTCATGTGGCAATTTGAAAATCAGGGTGTCAGTGAGGAAGTTGATTGAGGTTTCCTTCCATCAACTTCAAGAATTATTTTTTCCCCCTTACTTACTTTTGTAGTGAAATACAGATTTCATTTAGCACAGAAGAGGAAATAAAATAAGCATAGTAATGAGCTTCTAGCAACAAGTAACAGGACTTAGTCTTACATGTTTGCTCAAAAGCTCTTGGTTTGTTTAGCACTTTTGTCATATGCTCTGTAATCAAAATATTTGAGTTGTAAAAAGAGCTGCAGAAAACTGTTTCTCATGATCCTGGGAAATTTTTATCTTTGTGAAGAGTCCCCTGGGGTGTGGCACACATTTAAGAATACCCATACCCCACCTCTGCCCCAAAGCAGAGCTTATATGGGTATGTGCTCAGTCAAAGGCAATTTATAGGGATTTGGCAAAAATCCTTAAGTGCCGCTTTCTCTTGGTGGTTTTGCAGCTCAAAAATGGAGCTTCCACTTCTGGCAGTCATGCAGGTTTTTTCTGTTACTTTTTCCCACTGAAGATATGAAGGGTAGCTTTTCTTAAATCTCAAGCTTTGGGAAGAAAGGAGAATTCTCTGCTAATATACAGGTGTTTGTTTTCTTATTTACATGTCCAAGATTTCCTGTTTTGGGGGAAGAATTCTTACGATTGCACTAACTTGTGGAACCTTAATTCTCCACAGATGTAGCATCTGCCATGTGTCAGTATTTGTAGATTCTTCTTGTGTTGTCATTAAGAGCTCTATTTTATATGAATGGCCATGTTAAGTTTGCAATCCACATAAACCCATGTACTGAATTTATCAATATAAAAAGGCTTTGGGTTTGGCAGAAGTTGGTCAGTGTCTTTATGCAGGGAGTTACACGTTTATATGGGTAGCAAAAGAACTGTGCTGTGAGTAACTGAGGAAGAATTGAGAATGACTGATGGTGGACTGGAATAGCTTTATTTTTTTATTTCAGATTTCGACCTATTAAAGGAAGGCAAGAAGAACTCAAAGAAGTGATTGAACGTTTTAAGAAAGATGAGCACTTAGAAAAAGCCTTCAAGTCCTTGACGTCAGGTGACTGGGCCCGGCACTATTTTCTTAACAAGAACAAAATGCAGGAAAGGTTGTTCAAGGAACATGTAGGTGTATTTGTAATTAATGTGCTTTTTCAAATGGTTGAAAGGCAAAGAAAACAAAGATTTCTTAAGAATGTAGCAATAGTAAAGCGGTCAAGTGCTCTGTTATATGTTGTTTTATTGTTTTTTTAAGATAAACTTCCTTTGTTTTTGTAAAGCCTAACTAGACACACCCTCAATTTTTTTTGTGGGACTTTTTGTTTCTTTTTTTTCAGTTAACTTTCATTGCCTTTTATTAATAGAGTGTAGAAAGGAAGGGGTTTTTTTCCCTTTCATTGTTTGTTTGTATTGTGGTTTGGTTGGGGTTTGTGTTTTTTGGGGGGCTTTTGGGGTTTTAGGTTTCTTTTACTTACAGCTGTTGTAAATTAAATTGGGTGACAAAGGAAGATGAAGGAAAAGGGAGTTGTTACCTCAAAATACCCCACTTCCCCCACTCCAAATCTATTTTGATTCTCAAAGTTCAAAGAAAAAGCCATAGTATTGTTTACATAACAAAAAAAAAAAAAGGTGCTTCTTTGGGAGTCTATTGTTTCCAGGTGTAACCAAAAGGAATTTGGACTACTTTAAAATGCACCAAATCTAATAATGCAAGAAGGAGTTAGCAGAAAAAGTTCTTCTTTGTTATAGTGGTTTTTAGAGTAACACAATCAGACCTCACCTAAAAAAAAAATTATTCAACAGTCCCTGAATTCAGCATCTAGGTTTGTTGTGGAAGTAATCATTTTTCAGAACTTGAAATAATAAAATGGATTCCTTTAGATTATTAGGTCTCAGTGGTTGTTAAAGATATAAGAAGATTTCTTGAATGCAAGTATTCAGTGATTTAAGAAAAAAAATTACCTATTTGCATTAGTTGGACCAAATTTGTACCACTCCAAGTATCTTTATTTTTCATAAACTTTTTGGATAATTAGATTACCTGTGTGAGGATTCCTGCAAGTCACTGTGAAGAAATAAGATAAACATAATATATGTAGATTAAACATATAGAAACATAAAACATACAGAAATGCATTTCAGCAGACAGTATCCTGCTCCAGTATAATTTTGTGTTTCTGTACAGTTCACTTTTCATTATTTATATAAGAAGTTCCTCACTGCTTTCATTTTGCATATAACAGACAAGTACTGGGTTTTTTCATTGCAGGTATTTATTTATTTACGAATGTTTGCAACTGACAGTGGGTTTGAGATACTGCCTTGCAATCGGTATTCTTCTGAGCAAAATGGAGCCAAAATCGTTGCAACAAAAGAATGGTAAGAAACACAGTTTACTGTTATGTCCTGTTTCTGCCAATTATTTGAAATAATCTATAAATATATATTTAAAAGTGTGATTCAGAAATAAAACTGCAGCCAGTGAAACAGTTTTGTATTGTTACTTACAAATTGAATTTTCTCTCTATTTTTTGCTAAGTATTTAATACAGAATCCATGTCTGTGGAAGATACTCCTTTGTATATTTGGGTTTATGCATATAGTGTTCATTAAACTTTTTTTTTTTAAATCTTTTTTTCAGTCAGATAGTTGTTTTTCTCTACTCAAGAGTTGCTAGCCTTCCATGAGAAACATGACATTATGGCAGATTTGTTACACAGCAAATAATTGAGGAGAAAATGAGTTTTTAGCCTTTTTTTAAACAGGTGTTACTTGCCTATTTTGACTGTGCAAAATAAATCTCTCCTGGAAACACAAGGCTGGAACCCCAGTATATTTCCCATATATCTCATGTATATCTCATTTTGGCACTTCTGAATTTCATCATAAGCATGCATGTTGCAGCACCAGCAGATTCTGGCTTAATTCAGATTTTAAAATCACTTCAGATGTAGACACCAATTGTATGAGCTTTGCTCTGTGGCAATACCCATTCGTAGCAGCACACCTGATGTGAAGAAATGCAGTTATGTTCACACTGGGATTTGTTGGCTGGATATCCTGCTGGTGGCAACACAACCTCTACCTCTTAGACAGGAAGCTTTAAATAGGCTGAGGCCTGTTTCCAGCTCTTCATAACCAGAGCTGAAAGTTCCACATCCATGATACAACCCAGAAAATACTGACTGGGTTTTTTTTCTTGGTTTGTATCTGTTTTTTGTTGGGGGGTGGGGGGCAGTGTTTGTTTTTTTTGATTTTGTTGTTGCTGCTGCTTGAATTCACCCCTTGGCTGATTCCTGGGGGTAGAAGCTTTGTATGTAGGTGTATTGAAAACAGGTGAACTTCATACTCAAAATCTAGAGTAGCCTGAGAAGTGAGCGAGACAGGAGGGCTGCATCTTAACCTTGCTGATATCTGGAAAACTGTTAAGACTGAAAACTGATTAGAATTCTCAGCACTCTCTGTCAAAGGAGAAATTTGAACTTAAAAGACTTCTAATTTGTGTCCTTCATGTACCCTTATTATATCCATGTTCATCTCTGTCAGAGTACTCTGGCCAAAATATGGAATGGCCACTCTGAAGAGCAGTAGAAACAACGCCCATGCAAGAAAATGGAAACTGTGCTCCTACTAGGCTGAGCATTCAGTGCCTTTCCACTGCTCTAGTCATGATGGCACATTGGCTGTCTGCACACAAATCCTTTGTGGTTTTGTTCATTTTTGTAGGTGTCATTCCCCCTCCTCACTCTATTTCAAGGACCAGCTTCATGCTCATGAGAGAGGAAAGCATCTTGCTTGAATTCCAGCCTTTGTTTGAGTCACTACTGGGCCTCATTTAAAAAGCCATGGAGCTCTAAGCATTTTCATTATGCTGGGTTTTCCTGGCCACAGGAGGAAGTTTAGGAAACACAAGCAAGAGCAGCTGGAGGAAGTCAAAATTTCTCAAGTGGTGATGGGGAGGGAGTGTACACAAATGAAAAGATCTTGCTTTTGGTTTTAACAATTGCAGAAGCTGAAGTAATCAACTCTTGCAATTTCTTGCCTGCAGTCTCAGGAAATTGTAGAAACAATGGTGGTAATTGTTTCTGACGTCAGATTTGTTGTAATTGATTCTATAACAACTTCTCTTTCTGTGAAATTATTTTGTAACTTTGGCACATGTAGTCCTATTTTTGCTACTCTTTTTACATTAAAGGAAACGAAATGATAAAATAGAATTACTTGTGGGCTGTATTGCTGAACTATCAGAAATGGAAGAAAACATGCTGCTGAGACATGGGGAAAATGACTTCAGTGTCATGTATTCTACACGAAAAAACTGTGCACAGCTGTGGCTTGGTCCTGCTGCATTTATCAATCATGGTGAGTAATAAGTATAGGAAGCATGTTGAAGGGCATAAGAAATTCAGAAGTGTTGTAGGTGAGCCAAACAACACAGAAACTTGGAGAAAAATGTCTGAATCTGGCATACTGTATTACTGTAGGACAAAATCATATTGGGATTTTCCCAGCCAGAGCTGATCAGCTGAGAAATTCAGAGAAGGCTCTAGGGAAACGATGCCTTCTTCCTTGAAGGAGACTTTGGAACCGGCAGCTAAATTAGTGGAATATATTGTGGGTTACCTTGAATTCTTTGTGAACTCAGTCAACAATAACATCTTTATTAGATGAAGTTCTTACGGCTGTTTAACCTCTTGCACAGAAGTTTAGCTGATTGCATTTGTGTGCCAAAGGAAGAGCAGGTAGGATTTAAGATGAAGCTGTTTACTCTAAAGAGGAGGGAAACTGGACATTTGTGATAGCATAGGAAAGAGCTCAGAAATGCAGCTATATCAAAGCAGAAATCTTTTGATGTATGGCTTTGTGCAGTATTAACTTAACTCCCAGTATTTAGTTGAGATTCTGCAGTCATTGAAGTCAAAGTGAATCCTTACTTTAGATATCTACAACTATTCATGTTTCAGGTCTTATCCACAGTTAATTGACTTTATCTTTTGGACCTTTTTCAGATTGCAGACCTAACTGTAAGGTAAGCAAGAAATTATAAATAAATAAAGTACCCCACTTTTATTTCTTTCTCCTTCCAACTTTTCTTCCCCAACTGTTTTATTTCTTACTCAGATACTGTGCAGCCTTAATGATTAACCTTTTTTTTACTTCTTGTCATCTCCTTTTCCAGTTTGTATCAACGGGCAGAGATACAGCATGTGTGAAAGCTCTAAGAGATATTGAACCTGGAGAAGAAATCTCTTGTTACTATGGAGATGGGTTTTTTGGAGAAAATAATGAATATTGCGAATGTTATACCTGTGAAAGGTATGCACTGTTGTAAAAAGCTTTCAAATGGAATTGGGCATATTCATGATCTGTTTTGTGAACCTGAAAGTCCTTGATTATGAGTACTTCAGACTTTTGGACACAAAATAATTGCTTCCTACCTATTTGATGTAATGATTTTTCTGTGTTTTTACAGAATGGTGATGATTCTTGAGAAATCTGTGTTCTCTTAATCTTTTGATTCTCTGTTCTGGAGATCAGCTAAAAATAAGGCAGAACAAAACAGGGGTGTAGATCCTTAAAAATACTTGTACTGAATAAAGTAGAATTGGAAGAAAAGGCAGTTACAGCTTCTACAGACCACTGTGAACTGATCCCAAACTTTTGCTCTTCTTTGCACTTGATAAAGCAAATTCCATTAGTGTTTTATTTGTGGACCTGAAGTTCTCTTCTGCTGGGAATGGGCAAACTAGTTTTTCACCCAGTGTTGTTAGAACCTGGGGATTTGTGTATTTGTAAATATCTACTGGTTTGGACAGTATTTGCTTCTCTCTGTCCATCACTCAATATTTGTTTTTAACGTGCTGTCCCAACCTGGTTTCTTCACAAAATCAGTTGAAAGAATTCCATAGTTGGTTTTTGCCATGTTGAAACTTCTGCTCACTTGTGAGCACGGAGGCTCGGCATCATCTGTGAGAGCTTCACTCTGTTCCAAGAGAACTCGCTGTTCTGTTTGATCTGACTGTAGGAAGATCATTCTATAACTGCATAACCTCTAACTGTAGAAATAAAAACCCCATAAAGGTCAAAATATTGCACATATTGAGAAATAGCTTAGTGCACCTGCATGTAAATAGTTTAATTATACTATTTCCATTTTTATTGGCTACTTTGGTCACTAACATATCTTGAAATTAAAGGGAAAATACTCTGGTATGGACCTCCAAGCTTATGTGATGTTGGTAGGCCATTCCAAGTGAAGGGTGCAGTCTCAGACTTTTATCTCGAGAGCAGTTAGTAAAAATGTATTTCAGTCCTGGAGACTAAAGTGATGAACAAATAGGCACCAGAATTGTTCTTCCCTTGTTACATGGAGCAATGGGGGCTTTTTCTCAAGTTCTTTTGATCACTGATTTCAGTGTAATATGGACATACTTTCCTTTTCAGGACTAACTAGTTTTATGTGTTTGAACATTTTCATTAACTTGTTTTTGTATTTTAAGTACATGTTAAGTTATTTTTTAAAGCTAGTGTTTGGGTAATTTTAACTTTAGGAATCTGCTTTTCAGATGCAAAGCTGTGGTAGAGGTAACCAAATATATAAGATTTTATTCCAGGGGGAGTTAGTAAGGACTCATTTTTTGTTTGTTTGAAGACTGAAGAGGCAGCAGTCACTTTGTACACCACAAAAATTTATATGTCCCAATTTTAGCTATGCTGTAAAGAGTGTTAATTTGCAATGTTAAAATGCTGGGATCTAAGGACCTGTGGTATGTTCAGAGCAGTGGGAGATTTGGTGCAGTACAATTTCTTTCAAGCCTCCAAAAGTCATCACCAGTAAGATTTGCATCTCTTTACATATGTCCATGTACTCTTCCCAAGTGATTCTGCTGTTCTTGCTGGCCAACTGAGACATTTAGGCACCCAAGATGACAGGTAGAAGACAGAACGGGCCACAAACTGCTAACCAGTTCTGTGGCTGTTGGTCTCATTGATCTAGGTACACCTGGGATCCAAACTACTGTATATGAAACAACACTCAAAATTTACATTAAGATATATTAATACCTTCTGTGCTCCTTTTATCTGTAGACGTGGAACTGGTGCTTTTAAATCAAGAGTGGGATTGCCAGCACCTACTCCTGTGATTAACAGTAAATATGGACTGAGAGAAACAGACAAACGATTGAACAGACTTAAAAAGTTGGGTGACAGCAGCAAGAATTCAGACAGCCAGTCTGTCAGCTCTAACACTGATGCAGATACCACTCAGGAAAAAGGTAATGCAAGTAAGTAAGGGGAAGAGCTTGGAGTCATTGAAGGCTTCACAAAAACATGGAAAACTTTCACAGTGATAGAATTCTTCTCTTACTGTTGAGATGCTTCTCACATACTGGTCGTTAAAACTAATTTATTCAGGAATCCATAGGCAGTTTAAACAGCAAATTAATGGTTTTCCACAAGTGTTAGAAGAACAATAGGTGGTATGTTCTTCTTTTGTTTTGTTTTTTTAATATCAAAAGCAAATATTTATAAACATGTCAGTTAAAGTCCTGATAATAATTTCTGTATTTCAAAATACAGTAATCTACCACAGGCAGTAGTATGGTTTAGGAAAGAAAACTTAAATAGTTTGAATTCTTAGGAAAATAAATTTTAAATAAATACTATTATTAGTTATTATTAAACAAATAGTTGTTTCCTTTAGAAGTCTTTGAAATTAGGCAGCTGTTCCCTTTCCATATCCAGAATTGATAGTTCAGGCACCTCTTGTGCAGTGAAAGTGCATAGATAGTAATTTCAGAAGAAATTGGAAGGGATTTTTGTTTGTAATCTTCCTGCAAGACTTCTGTCTGTGGAGTAGTGAGTATGATTTATTTCCTTTCCCTGCTTTCCCACCTCCACCAACCTCAGTATGGGCAAATACAAATAATTTAAACTTTGATTTAAGTGGTAAACAGGTTTGGAGCTACGTAAAATACTGTGGTTCCATCTGTCTCCTCTTTGCTGCTAATATTAAAAAAAAAAAACAAACACAAAACCACAAAAACAAAACATCAAAATCCAACCAATCAATAAACAAAAAACCCTAAAAAATGTCCCAAAATCTTTTTATGGTCTCTAATTGCCAGTATTAGAATTGCACCTCTGTTGAGCAGAAAAAAACCCTTAGCTTGCCACAGTAGGCAGTAGTTTCACCTGAAACTGAAACCATTACATTAGATAAAGGTGTTTGGGGTTTTTTCCTCCTCCTCCATGAAAAAAAATCCTGGAAATAATATTAGATCATGCTGATCCTCAGATTTTGCTGGAACGATAGCCAGCAAAAGATGTAGATAATGTCAAAGTGATTTTTTTTTAAATGGTAGAAGAAGAAATTCAGTAGAAACACAGGGGGTAGTGAGGGGAAGTGTACCTGGAAATACTGATGTACTTGTGGCTGTTTGGCAATTCTTTTCATGTGCTGAGTTGCAAGTTAAGCATTCTCATTCCTTATTACATACTATCTATCCTGTCTCATGGATTTTTTTGAAGTGCCCCAAATAAATGAAAAAATGCAGTATTTGGGAGTGGGAAATTCAGGATATAGCAGTGTCATAACAAAACTGCTTTTTTCTTTTTCAGCTAGCAGAAAATCTTCAATTGGCGTAAAAAAGAACAGCAAAAATAGAACGTTAACCAGACAGTCTATATCAAGAATTCCAGCATCATCAAATTCTACCTCATCTAAACTAACTCATATAAATAATTCCAGGGTACCAAAGAGACTGAAAAAGCCTGCAAAGCCTTTACTTTCAAAGATAAAGTTGAGAAATCAGTGCAAAAGGCCAGAGCAAAAGAATGCTTCTCGAAAGCTTGAAATGGGAAATTTAGTTCTCAAAGAGCCTAAAGTAGTTTTGTATAAAAACTTGCCCATTAAAAAGGATAAAGAATTGGAGGGACCAGTCAAAGTTGCAGTCTCTAGCGGATGCTTAACGAGGCATGCAGCAAGAGAACATAAACTGAATTCTGTGAAAGGTGCTTATGAGCATGGTGATATTGCACCCTGCACATATATCACAAGGAGGTCGATGAGAACAAGGATGAGTTTGAAGGAGACCTCTGACACAAAGCTTGAACCAAATACGTTGGATAGCTATAAGAGTAACTTGACTGGAACACAATCAGACATTGCAGAGCAGCAGTCTCGTGCATTAAACGACAACGATGTGGCTCATGGACCATCACATAAAGGGGAGGGTCGGTGCCAGAAAAGTGATGCAGGCACGTCAAAAAAGAAATCTCGACAAGGGAAGCTTATGAAACCATCTTCAAAAACAGAGGAAACTGATACTATGCACAACACACCTGTGAAGGATGAAGTACCGGATTTGATTAGTTCTCATTCGGAACTCGAAGAAAGGAATAACATGGTGGACACACCTGTTGGCTTTAAAGACTGTATCCCTGGATCTGGTGGCTGCTCTGTAACAACTGACAATTTTAAAGCAAAAGACAGCTTTAGAACTGCAAAAAGTAAAAAGAAAAGACGAATTACGAGGTATGATGCACAACTTATCCTTGAAAATAGCTCTGGGATCCCTAAACTGACTCTTCGTAGGCGCCATGATAGCAGTAGCAAGGCAAATGATCAAGAGAGTGATGGCATGAATTCTTCAAAAATAAGCATAAAATTAAGTAAAGACCATGAAAAAGATAATAATTTATATGTAGCAAAGCTAAATAATGGGTTTAACTCAGGATCAGGCAATAGTTCAACAAAATTAAAAATACAGCTAAAACGAGAGGATGAAAACAGAGGGACGTACCCAGAGGACCTTCATGAAAATGGTGTGTGTTGTAGTGAAACTCTCTCCCTTTTGGAGTCGAGAATGGAAGTAGATGATTATGGTCACTATGAAGAGGAAACAGCAGATGAATCTTCATCAGAAGAGGACGATGAAGAGGAAGATGACTATGATGATGAATTTGATGACTTTATTCCTCTTCCTCCAGCGAAGAGATTAAGGCTTATTGTTGGCAAGGATTCAATAGATATTGATATTTCTTCCAGGAGGAGAGAAGATCAGTCTTTAAGGCTCAATGCATAAGCTTATAGGTCTAAACTGACCTGGATGTCATTTCTAAAAAAAAAATAAAAATAATTTAAAAAATAATAATAATAAAAAACCCAACAAAAATTCCATTTGATTATTCCTCAACTAAAGAACTTTCTGAAAAACTTAGTGGCAGCACTTCTTTATTCACCTATCAACGTAATATTGTAGAAAGTGTACAGCATACTGACTCTTCTTAAGTCTGATTTGTGCAGATTTTTATTGTACTTTTTAATAGCCTTCTTATGTGCAATTCCGAGTTAGAGGTAATGCTCTGTTGTAAAATAAAGGCTCAAGCAAAGTTACGAAATTGCATCAGATCTTTCCATGCAGGACAATGAGAATACAGTGTGGCTACAGAATTATTTTTGATCAGTAGGAGCGTTAGTTTGCTCTTACAATATTTGACTAAACAATTTACAAAATCATAGTAGCAGCATATTAAGGTTTTCTAGTATATGTTAATATCACCAGCAATGATCTACAGCTTTCTGATTTATTTGCTAGATGGTTTTTTCCCCTTGGAGTTTGTCAGTTTTAACACTGTATGCTGTCCCAGACGTACTGTTTGTGGCCTTTGTTATAGTAGCAAACCGTTGGTTGGAAGTCAAATTGATTTCTTTAAAAAAAGAGAAAAAAAATATTAAAAGATGTTGACAATTTGCTGACTTTTTAGTACATTATATGTACAAGGGTAGCAGTATGCAGAATAAAGTTTGGATATGGTGTATTTATTGCTTGTTACGTAAATTAAACACCTTGTATTTAACACTTTTCAATACTTTTAGATAAAATTGTTCTTTGCAAGAATGATTGGTGCTTATTTTTTCAAGAATTTGCTGTGAAATAATGTGATTACGACGGGCAACATTTATCCAATGAACTGCAGCTATCCTAAATTGGTTCTTCATATTTTTCTGTTGCACTTGTAAAATGCTACAAGGAATTTAAAGAAAAATCTATTCACTTTAACTTATGATAGTTTTATCAAATTAAAAACAACTAAGTCACAGCTTTTGTTCTGTGGTAACCTATGATTTGTTTGTCTTTTAAGAACCAGTTGTAAAAGACTGAAAAAATATGTATATGTTGTAAATATTTGTGTGTTGTGAGAAACTTTGTCATAAGAAATTGAGATAACTTGCCAGAAGGGTTTTTAAGTTTAGAAATACATCCATGCCAATAAAATAGGAAACTGTAAACCTAGTTTTAAACTCTGCATCAGTTGGGAGTCCTTTGCTCATACATAGTTCACTTAATACTTCAGAGTCTGCTTTATAACAATGAAGAGCATCAGGGCAATCTTTGGCTCTTTGGTTTTTAATAAAAGAATGTTAGGAAACTTCTGGGCACAATGGATTGTTTGTATGTATAAATCAGCTTTCTAAGCCATTTCTTTTAAGCAGGTGTGAAACATCAGAGTTGACATAACTGTGTATTGCTTTGGTCTGTTGTATTTGCGTTTCTACTCAACTGTGAATTAAGGTTTCAAGTTTTTGTATCTAGGGGTGTAGAAACACAAGTTTCATCCTGAAACAGGTGCTGTTGGGTTGCCTGAATCCACTGTTGGCTGCTCAGGATTTTCATGTCAAGTCCAACTCTCTACCCTAAAGAGCTTGATCCATGGTACATGGCCACTGTGTTACCCGTGAACATTTCATTATGTGAAAGCATTAATGGAGAGAATTAAGTGTAGAATTGAACCTAATACTTGTAACTTTGTCAGTCCCTGGGAAAAGCCTTGTGTCATGCCAGGGTGTGTATGGTTTTTGAACATGGGTGGATCTGTCTGTGCAGTCCACGGCTCAGACTGTCATACCTTGGCCCTCAGTTCAGGGAAGGCTACACAAACACCTTGGTGCGTATGCTCATAGCTGCAGGGACTTGTCTTGTGGGGTCTTTAATTGTATTGTATCATAAAATGGGTTAAAGGAGAGAGAGATAGGTTATTAGGGGCTTGTCTTAAAGTCTGGAGTGTCCAGGAAGCAGCTGATGACCAATGGCACTAATACAGCTCTTTCCTCCAGAATTCACAGGTGTTGTCACTGGGTGCTATGCTCTACAAGCATTTCTGGCTGTACCAGCAAAAATTGAACATAGTCTCCACACACTTTCACCTGCAGCCATTCTGTGACCCTGCTGCTTCTGCTTGCAGGTTCATACTCGGTGCTGCTCTGGCAGCCTCAGTGGGTGCAGTGGCAGGTGGGGCTTGGTTTGCAGAAATGTCATTCACGTTGCAAGGGAAAGGGGGTCAATGCAACAACTAAACATTGCCCACCATCGTGGGTATTTATGACCAGTGTGCTCGAGAGCAAGGTTAGGGCTTGCCAAACCAGCACCAAGCAATGAGAGCAGATGATAAAATGGGGAAGAAATTGTAAGTGAATCCTGCCTCTAGAGGGAGAAGCTGTTTTCCTGGGGTGGATGATCCTTCTAAGTCATAGTTCAGACAGCCCTTTAATGAGAGCTGCTTTCCTTTTCATTTAGTGTGAAGGTAAGTACAAGTAACTCTGGGCATCAAGATCTCTGGATTGGTCTTGTTCTTTGAACAACCTTGTTTTGGAGAACCTGGAACAAAAGCTCCTAGTTGTTTCCATGGCCATGTCCTGCTATATAGATGTTTGTGTTACAGATACCTAGAAAACAATTAAATGTGTTCCCCCAAGTGGGTCAGGCAGGCAGGGCTTCCACAACTCCAGTTGTGCCTCCTTCCCCTGACGCAAGTGGGCATTTTTTTTTTATCATCTGTATGTGAATTGGTGGATCTCAGTGTTTCCATAACCTTAGTAGCAGGGGAAGGTGTATGTCAGCTGTATGAGAATTTGACAGCCGGGCCATGTTTCTTGTCCAGATTGCAAAGCACTGTGGAGCTGATAGTAGTTTGACTGCCAGGAACCCTCTCTACCCTTGATGTCTCATTGTCCAGGATGCTGGTAAGAAAAGATGCCATAGCTGAGTAGGTTTGGGGTGAGCACAGCACCTTTTTAACAGGTTGAAGAACTGGAGGAAGTATAGTTGGGCTTTGCCAGTTTATGTCTTATCACACATAACAGTTGTGTGTTACCTGTAACGGGTTGGTCAGCTACAGAAGAAACATCCCAACCACTATGAAAATGTCAGGCTGGCTACTATTTGGGAGCATCCTGTCATGCAGTTATGCTGCCAACCCCTTACACAAAGTATGTTCATGTCTCCTTCTGGCTGGGGTGGTTTTTTCTGGTTTCTTGTGCATTTTGCCTAATACTGCCAGTTTACCTTTAAAATCAGCTCAGAAGCAGAATGAATTTGCTCCCCATATTTGTATGGTTGGTTGTCCTTGTTTAGAATGAAAGAGTGAAGGCTTGGGAGCTGTGCAGAATGAGACCTACTGAAAGTCAGCTAAGTTTCCATTGTATCTTCCAGTACTATGCCTTTTCCTAAATCCCCCTCCCTGTCAATATTCTCTTGTTTAGGCTGGGTCTTAAGCAAACCTACGGCCTTGCATGATCTCTGTTGCCCCTTCTTAAACTCTTGATTTCACAAAGTAGGGAGGTTATGGTGGGTTGCTGTTCTTTAGCATCACTTAATGGCAGCAACAGTAACATATATTTGCTCATTTTTGCCTGCTATAGCTCCCAATTTTTGCCAACCAAGGGAACTTCTGTGGCAGTTGTACTTGAGTTCACATACCTTGATTACAAATATTTTACAACTGTTTTTATTTTTGCAAGGTATACAGGTTGTTTCAGTTTTACTCCTTCCTACAAAGGAAATCCATTACTTCTTCACAGGCATCTACATTTGATTTAACTGTAATTTACATGGATTCATCCTTGCAAGAAATTTGATCAGAACGGTTCCTGCCACAGACACAGAAGCTTAGGTGGTCAAGTGGTGGTGTTGGAGGACCCCTTGTTGCAGCTGTAGGTATCTCAATGCTGAAACAGATAGGGGCCCAGTGAAATTGTATTGCTTGAGAATAGCTTTAGCAAGCAGAGATTTGTGTGTTCAGTATTGAGTTTCAGTCAAGCATGGAGCTATTGATGGATCAAACAAACCATAGGTTTTTCCACTGGTGCATTATGATGTTCATCAGAAGTTGGTTCTATTAAATAATTAGATTTTTAGGGTTTTTTGCTTCAACCCCATTCATTTAAGAGTTAGACTTAATGATCCTTTAGGGTCCCTCCCAACTCAGAATATTCTGTGATTCTGTGTAGTTCCCATATTGGCCATACTACAACAGAATCGGTGGTAAACTGGTAGATCCAATAAAATGTGGCCAGCAGGTCGAGGGAGTGATTCTCACCCTTGCCCTGGAGTGCTGTGTCCAGGTCTGGAGTGCTCAGCACAGGAAAGACACAGACCTGTGGAATGGGTCCAGAGGAGGGACACAGAGCTGGTCAGAGGTCTAGAGCACCCTAGGCTCCATAAGGCTGGAGACTCTGAGGACAGCCTGAGAGAGCTGGGGTTGTTCAGCTTGGAGAAAGGCCCACAGACACCATATAGCACCTTCCAGCACTGAAAGGGGGCCTCCAGGAAGCCTTGAGAAGGACTTTTCACAAGTGATACCACAAGGGGCAATGGCTATAAACGACAAGACAGGAGGTTTAGATTAGATGTTAGGAAGAAATTCTCTACTGTGAGGGTTGTGAGACACTGGATCAGGTTGCCCAGAGAAGTTGTGGATGCCCCATCCCTGTCAGTATACTCACGTGTTCGTTCATCGTGCCCCTTCGGCAGGATACTCGCACCCTGTCACTTTCCAAGAGAATCCTATCTTGCTACAGAAATATTTTTCAAAATGCTTTTCTTTTCCTCCTTTGAGTTTGTAATGAAACCCTGAAGTCAATAAAACTCAAGGCAATACTGTCTGCAACTTGCAAAAATGTTCTAAGTGGTAAAAAGATCAAACTTAACTGATCAACAGCAAAATCTTTGTGACTGACTTAGAAATACAATTTTTCACAAAACAATAACCTCCCATTTTTGAACAATAAAATCATGAGGCTGTATTATATTAAATTATATTAAAGCTCTCCTAAAACTCAGTGTAGAGAAGCAGGCATTTTCAGAAGTTCAAATTTGACCAGATGGAATGTAACCCATCTTTGGAGAAAAAGTGTTGGAATAGTTTAAAAAGGAACAAATAAGAAATTCAAACTCTGTTTTTATATCCCCCAATAAAGTCAGCTGGTTCTTCTCTGTGCATTGGTTTAGGATAGCAGTATTTTGCTTCTGGAAATTGCTCTGTAAAATGCTTGTTGCATTTTACTGGTTCATCTTCCACACCTGTACTACTTAAGAGTGTTGCACACCTGTTGCACACCATGTTCCAGAGGGGATATCAGTATTACTCAGCAAAATTTTCCTGCCTGAGTGACACTGTTTTTCCCTGGACTTGCCTGTGCCAATGGCAGAGCTGGCATCTGCCAGCTGCAGCTATCTGTGCACAGTTACAGCGGAAGTGTGACTTGGAGCTGCTGTCTGGGGTCAGGGCAAACCTGCAAAAGTTTCTCTGTGCAACCCACCTGTCCCTTCATAAAAGAACTCTACCCTACAGCGGGATATTGGGAGCGATGCTGGTTTGTACCAAGAGGAAAGATCTCCAAAAGCCAAAACACCTAATGCAGCTTTGTTCCAACGACAGCTTCTCCTCCCCTTTCTCTCTTGCAGTTCTGGACAAGCTTTTATCCATTGACTGTTACCGTTCCCAGCACAAGGTGGCACTAAGATTCCAACAGAGGGACTTCTCAGCCCTGCAGCCCTGCTCCTGGTTAAGAGACCAGTGCGTAGTAGTTAGAAGCTGTTTGGCCATTTATTGTTTCGTACTGAGAGGTATCCTGGGAATGCATCTGAGCATTACATAGGGGAAGAAAACAACCAGCCATGCTCGGCAAGGACAGTTTGGGAATAACTTGGTGCTGAATGCTGCTGTACTCTTGCCGGTTTTCATGCGAGTTTCCCTGTTTAGCCCTTTACAGCTTTCTCCATGCCTGTCTCGAGTTGCTGTTTCCATTAGTCAGAGCAACTCCTGCCAAGGGCAGACAGGCCAAATGTGCTGCTGTGCCTCGCATCCTGCTGGGAGCTGCTTGCCACTGTGTTAAAGGTCCTTGTGCAAGGGGCACTACAAGTGCAGGAGCAGTGGGGCATGAGGGGAAAAGAGTGGAAAAAATCAAGCAGCATATCATCCTCCTCCTGTCCCCTGAGTCTATAGGAATTCTCTCTTGGTCGAGATCCAGTATTAACACTTGCCTCAGGAATGCCGTATTGGTTCTTGAGGGGGAAGGGTTGTTGGCTGGTCTTACAGCTCCCAAAATCAAGTAAGAGCAAGTTGGCTGCTGCCTGTCCTGTTGCTAAGCAGTGCTTTTAAATTAGTGTTTGCTATGGGGTTGCACCTCTGTGCTATGTGCTATCAGCAGTAGGAAGATCCTGGCCATCTAGGTAGCATCTCTTTCTGGAATACTGAACTCATGTTTGGTTTACTTTCTATTCTCCCCTACACAGTGAGGTATTTATTATCTGAGCAGACCTGGTAGAATAATTTCTGTGAAGTCTTAATAAAAATTATGGGTGAATACAAAAAATGAAAGATGAAGCTGAACACTACCTGACCTTCCTTCAACCCAAGCTATGTGGCCATTTTTCTTTGTTCTGCACCCGTGCCTTGCTGCTCTCAGAGAAACCATGGGGTTCCATCTACAGACTCTTACTTTTACCTATGCGTCTTTTTTAGATCAAGAATAACCCAGAACAATGCAGCAAGTCTATCATGTGTCCCAATGGACTTGAAGGAGATCAGAGTTACAGTTAGCAGTTAGTTCCTTAAGGGAACAGAGCAGTGACACACTCTGAAATAGCACTGATCTCCTAAACACTGATTAAAGTGCAGAGAAAAGACCTTCTGTGGAGGTTTAAGAATACCCTGACTGGCTGGGACATCCAGTCAGGGGTGACAATGGTCAAGGGTGCTGGAAATCTTGGTTGACTATCATAAGCTGTTTGTGTGCCTTTGAACTGGGTCCCAGAACCCAAATTTTATTTGTTTAGAAAAAACAGAATAATACCCAAATGCTGATCTGCTCTGAAAGTCTGGCTTAGGTTGGGTGCTCCAGAAAGTCAAATTGACTTACAGAAAAGAAGGTGAGGAGATAGGAGGCTCTACCAAATCTATGAAATCTACCAAATCTACCAAAACAGCATATATAGATGCTTTTAACAGTGACTGAGTAGTTATCAGTGGGTTAAGGGCCCTGAGAACGGAGCTTTTCCACAGTTTACTGAGAAATGCCTCTTCCAGAAGTAGCAGGCTGGGGAAGCAGAAGGGGATCTGTCCCCTCACTGCAGCCCTCCCAGTCTGCACACATGATCTGTGGTCAAGGTGGGTTGGTGACAAGCACAGCACTGTGCACTGTGGAGTGTGAGCCATCCTGCCACTCCATGGCATCCATGCTGCCATTACATGCTGCAGTCCCAGCAGCAGAGGGGCGGTCTCTGAAGGAAATGAGCAGTTTGTTTGAATGCCTGGGAATCAAGACTTCTTGGCTGCATTGCTCAAGGAAGATTGTAATGGGTATTATTTTGTATAGTCCTGAACTTTTTCACCTTATATTTATTACTTCTGTTCTTGTGCTTCCTTCAGACTCACCTTATTAGGCTTACCTTACACATAACTGAAGCATTTGAAGTTTGGCTTCTGATCTGTGATCTGCCTGCAAAACAAAGATGATCCTGTCCATCACCTAATAAAGCCTTTAAGTCAAATAAAGCTATAAGCTCCTCAGGACAAGGACTTTCCCTAGTTATGCAAATTTTTATGTTTGTAGTATGAGCCTTGAATCAGGTAACTGTATCTTACATAGTTAGAACACTAAAATTATTAGAACACTTTTTTCTTTTAGATTGTAGAAGATATAGGGCAACAATGACTTTCCTACATTCCCTTTTATCTTTTGGAAAAGCTTTCACCCCGTCCCAACCTACCATATCTGTACAAGTGAGACTTGCATCTCTTTTATGCTGCCAACCAGATGCAGTTGCAGCCAGTAAGAATCCATTTAGACTAATTAGATGTTGCAAATCTATTATGGTTCTCTTGTTGGCATCTGTAGACACAAAAAAAATATGTGCCCCTTACATGGCCTGACTTATGGCAGGGCTTCCCAGGGCTTGGCAGGCAGGAGTGCTGCTGCACTTGATTTCAAAATGGTGTAAGAAGGAGGAATCTTGGCTGTGGAAAGCAGCTGTAAAGCCAAGAGGAATGGCTGTGTGTCTTATGACCTTTGCTGATTGCATGATTGCCTGACGTGGTATCATATGATAACTCTCAGAGACCATTAAGAATCAAGCAAGGCTTTTTTACATCCTTGCATCACCAGGATGAAAGGTTCCACAAAGCTGTTATAGCACGTGCAAGTAGACAAGGTGGATGACTTTGGTCAAACTCCAGGGATCTGGAAAGTATTAGTTTGTTTGGTTTTTTACACCCTGCAACTGCTTTCTGTTTACAGGCAAGTCTGTCCCCCTCCCTGTAAAATGGAAATAATTCTTTTCTCATTTTTAATTGTGTGCATTTAAATCATCACTTTTCCACACCAAAGGTCATCAACTGGGAAAGAATTTAGAAGGAAGAGGCATTACTCATACACCAGTATCAGCCAGTATGCTACATGCTCATGAGCTGTTAAGCTCAGCAGAGCCTTTTACCTCTCTAGGGCTGGTTCATGTGGGTATTTACTGGCTGCAGTAATGTGTCATTTTTTACCAGCTGGTTCTAATCTTATTGCAAGATCTTCTGAGCTAGCTTCACTGCAAAGATTTTAACTGGACTTTGGAGTCCTAAAGCAGCAAAGAGTGGTGAACATTTCTCACTATGAGAGTATGTTTCAAGGTTGTCCTTCCATTTCCTCACTCACAGACTCTAAAATTCATTTCTGTGGCAAAAAAATGTCAGTCCTTACCAGCAATATAGATTGGAACTGGTGATTTCTGTCCAATTCCCAGCAAAGAGGAAATTGTACTCCAGCATTCACTCTGAAAAGTGCTTGCAAGCACTGTTTCCTGGAGCCTCGCCTGTTGCGCCACTGGACAATTCCAGTGGTTTGAGAGTGGAGGATGGTCTGAGTGGTGTTTGGAAGCAGCACCAAGCAGAGAGAAGACAGTGTTGCTGTTGTCTGTGCAGGCTGGAGCAGTGCTTAGCTGAGCATGTCCAGAGGTCACAGCTGGCTTCACCACCCAGGGGCTCCTTTAGCCAGGACACAGCCTGTTTGGGAAGGGCAGCACAGGGGTCTTGCACCTTGCCCTCTCCAGCTTGAACCTGGAAGCAGGGGGCCTGGCTGCCTGTGAACTCTGGGGGTGCACTGTTTGCTTGAAGACTGCTTTGGGTTGTGATTTTTACTTTTTTTTCAAGTTTTCCCCAGGAGAGGGAGCAGTCCACACAAATGATGTCAAAGGGAATGAATCTGCTTATTCCAGATCCAGCTTAACCGCGTTTTCTGTATTGCTGTCAGTGCTTTCTTTCCTCATGCTCCTCATCATCAACTCTTTTTGCTTCACCTTCTGACTCCTCTGGTAACCTTGCGAGAGCTCTGGCAGTGCTGGCCTTTCAAGGCTGGCATTCAGGGCAGGAATTGCAGCCATTTTCTCTGTAAACCACATTTCCCAGCACAGTACGCCCAAGGCTGCTCCAAGGGCCTGGTCCCACAGCCCACATCCCCATCACCAGGCCCTGAGTCAGTCACTAAATTCCCAGCACGGTGTCCCGTTCGCGTCCGTCCCAAGCCGCAGGGCACTGGCTCGGCGGCAGCTCCTGTGGTCACTATGGTGACAGTGGCCAGGCAAAGGAGGGCATCAGCTAATTCAGGAATTTAGGGCTGCTTTGCTGAAAATCTCCTTTTTGTTCTAGCAATAGTAACTTCCAGAGACTTGCTGCTGCTTAGGTATCCATTTGGGGGTTGACTGCTTCCCTAGCAGATGATTATATTTCCAGTAACATATGCATAGAAAAACAGAGGAAAGTTGGGGGTTGTAGAGTTCAAAACCACTGCTGCCAAAGTTCCTGTCTTCATGGTGTCTTTTGTTGTATCAGGAAAAGTTCCAAAGCACAGTAGCCTGGTTACCACTTAAGGAATGGATTGTGGGTTCTTGTTGACTTACTTCACTATTTATTCCTTCCTTTCCTTCTTTCTTTTTTAAATAACCAAGGGAGGAATATAACAGAGCTAACTTTGTGATACTCAAGCCTCTGGTGCATTGTATCCCAGTGCACCTGATATAAAACCATCTACTGACACGTGCTGTGATTCTTAGCACTGCTGTAAACTGAACCACTCTGGGAAAATTTCCAAGGAATAATGGGAGGAACTCTCAAGGACAAGATGAGGAGGACAGCACAAGGTATCTGTTCAACAGCATTCCTGGGAAACTAGTGTGCCAGGGAGGCTATCGTAGCAGTGACTCGCATGAATAACAGTATTAATCTTTATTTTGATGTGCCACTGGAAAGATCTAAGAGGTTTTGTGCATGGATGACCCTCAAATTAAGGGCAAAATTTGAGTAGGGAATTTTGTAGCAGACCTGAAGTTATATAGCTGTTAGGGGAATAAACTGGATGAGATCTGCAGCTGTCTGCTTGGAGATGGTCATCTCTGGTAAAGATGTTCCCTGGGACAGATGCAGTCTTTTAAGAGCACATAGCTGCAACAATTGCATCTCTGCAGTGTGCTATCTCTGAATGTCTGATACAAAGACTACAGACACATGCTGTGATTTTTAATGCTACTGTCAGCTGAACCACTGGGAAATTTTCCAGGGAGCATCAGGCAGCCTTCTGAAGGACAGATTGAGGACAGTGCAAGGTATTAATGCTAACAGCACTCCTAGGAGACTACTGTTCTAGAGCCATAGCCTGAAACAGGGTAAACTTTTAAGAGTATAGCCTCGTTTAAGTTAGTACAAGCAGACATGCTGAAGACACCTGCAAAAAGCTTGTGTTGTGCACAGCCCCCTCTACTCCCATTTAACTGTATGTAGGCCATGCTTACGTCCCCTTTTCAGTACATGAGCAGTGGGATTTGAGACATAAAGCTGTGTGTGTCCTTTCTTTGGCTGGAGGGGTACATTACACCTGAGCAGTGTTGCAGCTCATGGGGCACTAGTTGGAGTTCGACAGTTTGCTCTGTCTCTGTAGGTGTGTTATCTGAACCATCAGATCATGTAGTTCATATTCATTTTGCAGCCTGGTGGGTGACACTACACAGCAGGCAGGGTAAACATTTCACACAGCAGCCAAAGTTCACTCTTGCAGGTCTGAGTTGTCATCTCTGCTTCCAGGTTACATTGACAAAATGGCATAAAAAATGAAGGAGGTAAGTGGAAGTGGGTGAGGCAGTTTAACTCCTATCATTGATGTGTCCATTCAAAGGGCAACATCCAAGTCAGCTGAGCATGAGTAAATTCCCATTTATGATGGCCTGACCTTAGACTCTGGACCTCCACAGCCTCACTATAGAGCCACAGAATTACATTTTTATTGAAAAAAGCATGACTTGAATGCCAATATAAATACCATCTCCACCTCAGCCTTGTAAGGTACTCTGAGATAACAGCATGTATTATTCATTTTGCCATCTCACCATAGACCTGTTGGCTGGTGCCACCCAAGGGACAAGACTCTTAGATAGTTGATAATCTCAGTCTTATAATCTTTTTGTTCAGAAGACATTTTGTTCAGAAGAATTCAGAAGGAATTCTTGCTTTCTGTTCAGGCTGGGTGTGCAGCAAATTTTGTTTGTTGATGTTGGCTAGTCTCTTTAGGCTTCATTTTGGTGTCTTTTTAGCTCTTTGCTTCCATGTTTCATTACTTCATTGTGTGCCAAAAGTTTTAAAGTTATTTTCAGATGTTCCTTCTACTTGTTGGCACTGCAGTGCCTGGATATGACTGTATCTAAAAGTACAACAGTGATGCTTAAACTGTGACAGTCATGCATAGTGGGTCTCCCAGGATTTTTATTGTCACTTTTTGCTTGAGTCTGGGCATTTATTTAAACATGGAGAAAAAGCACCAAACAGAATAGGTTCTTGCAAGAAGCTAAGTTCAGCTGAAGTTTTGGATGTGGCCTTAGATGGGTTCTGATAACTGCCAGGCTCTCTCCCTTCTACTTGCATACTAATTTATGTAGGGAAGAAGTTCCTGTTTAAAGGGTTGTGATTTTGTCAGTTTGTGTTGGAGTCTGGTTTAAGGGCAGATTTCCAAATGCTATTAGGAAGAAAAAGACATTTGTCTAGATAGCTACTGCCCGTTCTCTCAACAGTGCTTGGATGAAAGATGTTTTCAATTCTACTGTGGGATCGAGAAAACAGCCCAAGTTCACAAAGCCCAAGAGTGGCATTTTTCAATAGTACCAGCTGCTTCATAAGCCAATGGCCGATTTGACCCTGACCTCCATGGTAATGGCACCAGGCCAACACTGTATGCTCCAGCAAATCATTCCCTCAGGCTCTGTAAATCCTGTGCTATTGTCCTGCTTCTGGGGCAGTGAGAGGACACCCTATGTCACTCATGCACTGAGAGCAAACTATGCAGCAGCAGTGGCGACAGGGCTTTAAGCTGTTGCACTCAGCATGCAGGGATGGAGCTGAATCCCTAATTTTGGAATACCAATAGCTAGACCACTGCCAGTGAGCGAACATTACTTGTCTGCTTTGGTATTTGCAGAAGTGCATGTGCCACACTACCTGCTGAACATAGGGCTGTGGAAAATAGAGGCCTCCTGAGCTGTGAATCAGAAATAGAGCAGCTGATACCATGGACTGTCCTTATTCCCAGTTGGAAGTACTATTTTCTGCAATTCAAACTGAACACAGCCTCACAGCCCTTCTTGCTCTGTCTCTCCTCTGCTCTTACAGCCAGCATGTACCAAACTTCTTGTTACAAACCGAGACATTATGTGAGAACATAATGTCTTCACCCAGAGCAGAAAGGCAAAGTCTCTTTGCAAAGACTTCCACTTACAAGAGACAGCAGAAACACTGGTCCTGTAGCCAGGTCTGAAAGCTGTTGTTTTTCCTATTTCAACCTATTTCCTGTCTTTCAGCTGTTCTGGAAAGGGATAAAGAATGGATGAGTTAGCAAGAGACAACAGAGGAGGTGAGTGGCATTTGCATGAAAGATGATAACAGAAGAAGAAGAGGGAAGGTAGAAAGAATGGAACAAGAACAGAGATAAGAGTGACCTTGGCAGGAGAGAATAACAGACAGTGAAGGCCCAGGAGAAGGAAGGGCAAACAGACAGTGGAAAGAGGAGACCTTGGAAAGATTAACGAGACTAAACTGTGCTGAGGCAGAGGGACCTTGCACTGAGATTTCCAGGCAACTATGCAACCATTTTCTCATGCAGTGAAAGACATAAACAAACACACCGTGTGGTAGAAAGCAGAAATACAAGAGTAAGGAATTTTTCTGTTTCTTTTCCCAATTTTGTGAAAAATTTTGCCCCTTCTCCAGAGTTGGGTTTTCTTCTAGAAGCTACTTCTCCAGAAGACATAGTATAGTTTGCAGTTCCCCAGGGTCTGGATTTTAACTATACATACAGTATAATTCCTTTTTTTGAAGAAGCGTTGTACACAAACAGAAATCTGAGATTTTATGGCTGGTAGAGCAATTATGATTTAAAGGAAATTCTTCTCTCTGTACAAGTTAAGACATGTCAAATTAACTTCTCCTCTAAAGTTTGTGGCACCATCCATGCAAGCTAGTCTGAACAGGTAACATTTTTCATCTTCTTTGAAGTTCTAGTCAGTGGCAGACCAGACCCACTGAGAGACTCAGTGAAATCTGTCCTACCAACTCCACCACACACTTGGCAGGTTCACCAAAGCCTGTAGTGTGGATGTCAGTGCACTGTTGAGTTAAAAAAAACCTTGAAGCTGCCCCAGTTTTACTGATGTAGCTCTCTCTTGGGCCCTAGACGTGGTATGCAAGAGCTGGCTGTTTCTTACCTTTTTCCTCAAGTTCATTCCAGTGTACATGGAGAACAGGCCCTACTTTCCCTTTAGGAATCTAGGCAGGGCCTCATTACTCAGTTTTGCTTCGGGGAAAAACTGAAGATGGATTCTCTTGCCTACAGGAGTACAAAACTAACAGGAAGCACCTGACTGGGCACTGCCTATCCTGTTGCAGTTCAGAGCTTCTCTGATGTGTCCCTGGCAGATGGATTTCTCCCTTTGCTCAGGATTTGTGTGTGACATTGGGTCCCAGAGGAATAGCTGTAGCACAACAGGGGTGTTCTCTGTGCAGGACATGCTCTGTACAGTCTGTCTCTGGGTACAGCATTTGGGAAACCGGGCCAAGGCAGCTTGCCTGGCATGCCACAGTCCTGGACATTCCAGCTGAAAGGGACACCCCACCCCTCAGCAGTGCTGGGGCTGCAGCTTTGGTACCCAGGCTCCTCGGCTCAGGACTGCAGCTCTGTTTGTCTCTAACACTGCCATGCTGGAGGATCCCCAGTCTGATGGCTTTGGCAGAGCCAAACCCACTGAGCCCCAGGCAGCAGCAGCTTGTCTCAGGAGGGGTTTCATGATACTGAAATGGATGCATCCTGTCCAACAAGCCTTTCCATGCCCTACATGCCTGGGAAGGACTGAGCTGCCCTCTACCAGTCAACAGTGACAATGAATGGGTTGAACATTGGAGGAATCTCTCCTTTGAACACCAATACTATTGGTGTTAGTAGATTGCCAGAATAGAGAAAATTAAGAGTTAAGTGAATTAATTTATTCCTTCCTCTTATTTTTTCTCATTTAAAACATAATTTATATATTAAATTAATATTTTCTACTCAGCAAATCAATTAACTGTGCCTGCCACTGTGTATGAAACACTGAAATTTGCTTTAATTCTTCTTTCAGAAAATTCTGCTTATCCTGCCTGTGTACAAGATATGTGCCTACAGCTTACTTAGGAGACCTCTATTTGCACGGGGTGACTAAAAGGTATTTTGGAATAGCTGGTTCAGTTGTCCCTGTTCATGTGCTCCTAACACAGATCTCAGGAATGGGGCAGATGGTGGCATAGAACCTCAAGTGTTTGGTTTGGTTGATGGCATCTTGTTTCAAGTAATACAAGTGAACCCTGAGACAAGAAAGGAGATGTTATTGACTGGTGTTTTTCCGGAGGTTTACACTGCTAAGTTGGCAACTAGCCTTGTTTTCATTTCCCCTCAAATTGACTTGCCTACCCTTCCTGTCAATTTAAGAGCCAAGCTACAGTGATTTGCATTCTTCTCTTCTAGAAGTGAAGTTTCTTAACCAATTATAAATGAGCTGATGTTTCTTGACAGTCATTTTATCTGTCTAGAAATGATAAGAATTAATCCAATGGACAGAAGTATTTCACAGTCAGAATAGTTCAGGAAGGATTTCTAGGATATATTAAAGAGGGCTCCATACTGTATCTCATTCTTTACCACATGAGCGCTAGACAATGGAGAACAAGTCCTTGATATGCTAGGCTGGTGATTAGTGCAGTAGGGACAAAGGTTTTTTACCAAGCACTGGTTTGTAGAGGTGAGAAGTTTAAAAGATATGGGAAATTAGGGAAGTGCTTGTCAGAAAATTTAACTCATAGTGTCTTCAAGATGTTTCAGTGTTGGACAGGTAGGGTAAGATGGAGACAGCATAGGAAAGATTATTACAAAAGCAGAGATGGTCTTTAAAACTATAATGACTTTTCTTGCCAGAAACGGGCAGATGAGCAACTTCTTTTTCTAGCTGTTGGAAGCTGTTGAATTGATGAGCTGCGAGCATTTGACCCTACAGCTATGGAGGGGATCATCATCTAAAAGCAGCCTGCCTTCCAAGGTTGTATCCAGACCCACCGCATGTTTGGAAAGACACTGATATGTTGCTGATTTGTGGAATTTTCATTTCCCATGATGATTTTGCCTCACAGAGGGAAGCTGGGGTTAACACTGGAGCTGGAGAGAAAATTTTGATTTGTGTGGGGCTTGGAGGGGAGAGGAGGGAGCCCAGTGTTACTGTCTCAGAGGGACAGTGGGCTGGGGGACTACTTCTATGAGAAGTGCAGGCATTTCCTAGAGAAGGATCTTTGACGTACCTGCTGACTGAAACATTCCAGGCATTCCTGCACTGTGCTGCTAAGCTCCTACAGCAGCAGCTCATGCTGCTCAGGCTGCATGAGCAGCCTGGCCTCAGCAAGTGTGTCCTGGTCAGGGACAGACACATAACTCTCATTAGCAAGTTCGCTGTGTGGAGTAGCACTGTAAGAATTTGCAGCTGTAAGAGAAGATGGATGTGATTTTAGTGTGCTGCTGTTGTGAACAGACCTTCCAAGAGCAGGTAAAGGGTTGCAGAGGGCTAGTCACCACTGTGTTTTCTCCAAAGATTTCCTGGGTGCTTTGTGTACAGGCTGGAAACTGTAGTTCTCTGTAGCCCTTACTGCTCCTATAGCTGTTCTCTCAAGCTGTGTTTGCATCTACTGTAAGGGGCAGAAACTCGCACCATCTCAGTGTCAACAAGCTTGTAAATCATCTACTTAATAGTCACAGGTGAGATAACATTAAATACTAAAGGCAGTAAAAAATCCTTCCCACCTCACTCACCCTCCCCTCCGTACTGAATCTTGTCCAAAGCTGCACAAACAGGATTCTAAGATAAAAACCTTGGGTAGGAATTACTAAAACAAACAAAGCGTGGCATGGTTTGTTAAGGGTCTGGCTTCTCAAGGCCAAAGGGTGGGTGTGGAAGAACACACCATACACCTTACAGAGGGGAAAGCTAAGAATGTTTAAAAAGTACATTTTGGAACTAAGCCCTCCTCAGAAATTTGTAATATTTTAAATAAGTTGATGTAGCATGGGAGGAGAATCATACAAGTACAATGGAAAGTATATTGCCTGTGATTTCAATAACTAGCAATACAAAAGCTTTCTAAGATTTATTCAGAGTTAATGCAGTTCTAGCAAGGAAACTGCTCCAAGCTACATTTCTGTCTTTCCTTTAAGAATGCTTTGAAAGAATTCACCACTCAGCTGCAAACTACCTGATTCTGAACATAAATAAAAGAGCAGAAATTTCCCTGTTCACTTCTTCCCTGCCCTGCCATGTGCAGGAAATCTCTCCATAGCAGGACAGTTCCTGGGGGCACATTAGTTCAGTCACCATGCAGTGACTATTGATGGCTGGCTCAGTGTCAGGGTTTCTTTCCTATTTTTGTCATTGCATGGATGAAATCCACTGCTATAGCATTATCTGCTATTGACAGGGGATACATTCCAATCTAAAGGCAAAAAACTTCATGTCTGTGATCTTGCTAGCCTGTGACCAGCACCTGGGGGAGAGATTTGAAGGTGGAACATGATGAGCCACAGGACTACAGTTTTAGGCAATATCTCAAAACTTATTCCTTTTGCAGGCTGATTTTTTGCCCCAGAAGAATATGTGGTCTATAGCTTTAGTCAGTGCCTAGGGGTAATCTCTACATCCCCTTGACTCAAGGCTTGTTTAACTTTCCTATGCTGCTGCAAAGCTATTGTTAGTTTGCAGATAAGGAAGTGTTATCATTTTAGCACAGTCTAAGAGAAAAGGATAGGAGGGAGCTATTAGATTCTCTCTTGTGTTACTCTCTATCTGGTGTCAGGATTGCCCTTCCCACTGATCTCTAAAATGTGGTAATAATAACAGTAAAGTTTTATTTTTACTGGTTATCAGCCAAAAGCAACAACTAGGCTAAACCAGAAAATACCATCCTTTCTGCCTTTGCAGTGTGTATGCTCAATCTTTGTGCTGATGCTGATTCTTCTCTAGTTCTTTTCTGAAGAAACAAGGAGACACAGACACAGACACCTTCATCCCTCCCCAAACAACCTGGTCTACCTAATCCTGGCCATCATCTAAAAACAGGCCCTCTGCCCTCTTCAAGCAGGCCAACACACATTCCCACCCTCCCAGTGCAAATCTGCAACAGCTCCCTCTGTCCTAGCTTGCTTTCCCATTAAGACATGGTAGACTTTTCACAGCTACTTGTTGCTGCCTGTAGCAGTTGCTACATCTTCCTCTGTGTGTGCCTGGCAGTCTTCAGTCA